GCCTAATCACAAAATTCAATGCACGAAGACATACCACCGTCTGTCCGGCGCGAATTTGAATGCTCTTTGCACGCTTTTCTAAATTGAATGCTTGTTTTGCACGTCTCCGTGACAAGAGTATGAAATCGCGTGCTACTAACTCAAATTGAATGACGCAATTAGCTTTTTGAATGTTGATCTACATAGTCATTCAATTTCGCACGAACTTGAATGAACGTAACGTTAAATTCGGATGCTAAGTTTACGAAGTTGGGCGGGGAAACCTGTAGTAAAAGAGTTTTTTACGTATACATGTAACAAGGGGTGGTGGAGATCGAGGCTGGGTTCGATATTTCGAACATTCCCATCAGCCTGATATGATAACATGCGTAGAGAGCAGACATCCTTTCAAATAGAAATTTAAATTTCTAGCACAGACTAATGTTATGAAGAATTTGAGACAAGAAATAATTGTTTTAAAGCGGGCAGTTGCTAGCGTGACTAAAATGTAAAAATAAAATAATGTCCTAAATTTCCCTGGCTGTACGAGGAAAATCCCTATCACTTCATAACTATCTTTTGTAAGTTTCCGTTTATATTGTTCGATTTCGGCTCTCTGTTTTATTCTTGCGTTTTACTTTGATGAGTGCAAGACGAAAAGCTGGCTCTATTCATTACCAATCATCTTTTAAGTTCGTTTTGAAAAGACAAGAGATTGCTAGTTTTTAGGTACTCGAAATTCTCATCACTTTCTATCTCGTATCTTCAGGTTCTCACGTTTTCTTCAAGTGCTCACATTAATAGACAAAGAAAGGGAACCAGGGTCCAGTTTCATAAAGCTTTTCATCAAATAATAACAATTTAGAATGCGTAGGAGTTTAATACATTTTGTCGAAACATCAGAAAAGAAGAAAACGAGAGTGTGGAAGGAGTAGGGAAATATGTATGAGGAGAGATGGGTAAAGAAAGTGAGAAAACAAGAATGAAGGGATTAAAGTAAAGAGGTATAAGAGAAGTGTTGAAGAAAGGAGGATTAGCAGGAAGGGGATATACAATATGTGTGTGTGTGTGTGTGTGTGTGTGTGTGTAGAAGCGTTCGGGTAGGGGGCGGGGCTGCACATCCAAAATTTGTGAATAACACGGACAAGGCAAACACATATAGACTTCAGATAGCACAAGTCCAAAAAACACAACTATTTTACTACTATTTATTTTATTCAACGGCTGCCAATATTCAAGTAAAGTTTCTTCAGACTTCTATACCACCTTTCTCTTTTCTGTTTCTGCCATGCCTTCTCTCCCTCTCTCTCTCTCTCTCTGTCTGTCTGTCTCTGTCTCTGTCTCTGTCTGTCTCTCTCTCTATCTCTCTCTCTCTCTCTATATATATATATACATACACACACACGCACACACACACACACACACACACATGCACACACACGCACACACGCACACGCACACACAGACACACTTTTTTAATAGTAATTTTGTTTTATTCCTCCAGATGTAATATAAACAAGAACATACAATTGAATAAAGTAAATAAACGTTTAAAATATTAATTGCTTATACATGAACATAAACATAAACATACATTAAACCAAAAGTCATTTGCAGTATATATAACAATTACTGAGCAACAAAGTAAACTTAAAGGTATAGACCCGTTCTGGTCATGCGATTGCATTGTGAAAGAAACGTTGTGGAATCGATCAGAAAAGGGTGATCATCTAGCATAAAAGTATTGGTGTGTACTGCAAGGTTCTGGAATCATCAAAATAATAAGAAATTTGTATCAGCAAAATGTGTATCATCACGTATCAGTCAAAACATGTTCTTTCACATGATTGGTAATAAGAGCTTCTATTTCATTTTATGAGAGGGGGGGCGTTTCCAAAACTGGTATATACCTTTAAAGTACATAAACATAATTTATAAGTCAATTGTACGTGCATTTTATTCACTTTAATTAACTGTAAATCTAAGCATATCAGGAGCTCTTGTAGCGCAGTAGAATATAAACTTAATGTTGGAAAGTTTCTGCGCTCTATAAATGTACTGTTATTATTGTTATTATTATTATTATTATTATTTATTATTATATATAAAACAAACTTAAACAAATCTGGAGTTATTTCATTGGTACAAAGCCCTGCTCCTCCCTGCCCCTCCCTCCCACAAACACACCCACACAGACACAGACACACACACACACACACACACACACACACCCCCACTACTCACTCAGTGGATGTCTGCTAACATTCTCAACTCAAGAAATATACTAAATAAGTAAGTTAACTAGCCTGCAAAATAGAGCTACACTTTAACAGACTCACGGTGGAGAGGAAAATAAATCTTAATTAAGACTAAGCTGCTCTCACTTCAGAAAAGGTACTCCCAGCTTTTCCATTATAATGGCCATTTTCTTTTCCTTATCCCTATAATTTAAAATGGTTTTCTTCATCTTTTATGAAGTTGGTAGTTCCCCCCCCCCCCCCACCCCCGATCTTGACATAAATATAACATACTTCATTATGAAAAATATAGTATTACAGATTTGTATTGTATATGAACTACCTGCCAACCCAACAAATATATCTCGCCATTCTAAATCTTTAAAGTTGTACTAAAGCCTGCCATATCATTTGAACGCTCCCGCAAGATAACAAATAATATTTATATGTTTCTATATTTCCTGTTTACAAAACAAATACATTATCACCGACAAAATCAAATCTATGAATATGCTCATTTAAAGTATATATGGCTCCAAGCAATAATTTAGATTGAAATTCTCGTTGTTTTTTAATGAGTATAGTAATTATTAGTCTAACACACACAAAAGCGCACACACACACACACACACGCACACATACACATTCTCTCTCCCTTATATATATATATATATATATATCCCTCTCACTCTCCACCATATCTTTCTCTCTCATCATATCATTCTCTATATTCACCTCCATTCTCTCTGTATCCGTTTTCATGCACTCCACCATATCTCTTTCTCTCTTCGTTTTGATTTACATGTGATTAATTACCTCCCCCTCATTCACTTCCTCTCCAAATCCATTTTTTCTTTCTCTTGATATCATGTTTTTATCTCTTCCAGGTTCTGCTAATAACATTCACGAAGTCATGTATGTACGTGTAACTAGAGGGGACGGGGTGGCAGGGTTCGAGGTTTCGAAAACACCCGTCAGCCTAAAAGCAGATATCGTTTCAAGGAGAAATTGAAATATCTAGCACAGACAATGACAGACTAGTAAGGCTATGAAGAATCCAGGAAATACATATTTTTATGCGGACAGTAGCTAGCATGGCTCTATAACAGGTCTATAAAGAAGGGGGTGGTGATGCCATTTTGACATAGTACAAATTGTTGTCACTATCCCCCCCCCCCCCCCCCCCTCTCCTATTGCACGGGAAACATTGTTCATTGTATGACTACATTTCCACGGGCTTTCAGGAGGACACCTTTGACAGTTAAACTCGTTTTATGTTCATATTTCCGGGTACAAATAATGTCCTAAATTTTCCTGACTGTAAGAAGAAAATGCTTCTCATTCCATAGTTATCTTCTGTAAGTTCGTTTCGAAAAGACAACAGATTGCTATTTCTCATCACTGATTATGCATGTTTAAAAATACTCGAATTGGACGGGGACACCCCATCCTCCTCCTTTCTCGCTCCGTACATCCATAGTTTGACCTGTTCGTCTAAACTATGAGAAACACAGATACACATAAATTTTGTTGTAATACGCCATAATATTCCTTTGACACAGAGTTTTAAAATGAAAAGGTGAACTATCATACATCAATGTGAAAATAATGTGTGCAGTATTCCAAATACTATTAAAAACATGCAAATTTTGTTGTGACTGGCATAATTTACAGAAATGTACATAAATGTATATAATCATAAAGCATTAAGCTATTCCACAGTCATGTTCGACATGTTCGATGGCGAGAATTTCTATAGCATTTCAGAGATCGGTATTCTTAAAGAAATCTCCTTGACACCGAGAGATTTAAGATACAATGTTGTATTAAAAAAAGACAATGAGAAAAAACCTTAATTTTACCTCGAATTATCATCATAGCTTCTCGTGTTATGTTCCAAAACTTAATCTACAGAAAAGTTCGTTGATAAAGAGGTTTCATGGACATGGCTTTTTGGTTGCCTCGAAGAGATTCACTTCTCCATAAATACTTACACTAACACTTACCGGCGCACACTTCACGATCCGACTGCGATCTGTTTCTCGAAGAAGTAAGCTTGAAATCCCCTAAAAGTTAGATTCTATTAATCAATGAATAAACAAATCCTCAAACATTTTACATGTTGAAATGTTCATATAAAATGCTGTTGTAAATTCTTCCAAAATCGGATCGCTGTCAGATCGCGTATAGTGTGCGCTAAGCTTTAGAGTAATAGGACTCAGTACGTATAAACCTTTAAATGCAAATTCTCTTATTCAGCGAATGGTGATTCTAATTCTGACATTGAAAAATAGAAAGAAACTGCGATACACGTATTATAAAGATTTGCATCCAACCATGTCATGAAACCATCATACCACGGTGAAACACGCTAATTCTATGATTGTCAATTATCTAACAGATTTAAGTTCCAAAGTATATCTTTAACAGAAACAGGAAAAACAACATCAACAACAACAATGCTAATGGTGATGATGATGATGATGTTAACAATAATAATAATGATAATGATGATAATATTAATAACAATAATAACGATGGTAATGTTAATAATAATGATGATGATGAGGATGGGGATAATGATGATAATGATACTGATGATAGTGAATGAGAACATCAAAAAGACAATTATGTATAACAGTATCAATAGAGCGATCCATCTGCTACTGCTACCACTACTACGACTACTACGACTAACACTTCTGCTGTTGCTGCTGCTACTACTATCACTGTCATTACTGTTAACCATCAAACGTTTCTCTAGGTTCCTTTATGACTGTTATGCTACTCATTTGGGATCAAGTCATTTGTCCTTAGATTAATGGTCAGATTTTTGGCCAATTTATCCCAGAAATATTCTTGTCCTCTCATGTCCTCAGTCCAGTGGATATATGGTCTGCCATCATTGAGATACAACCTCGCCAAGAATGGCATTTCATCATCAGGGATGTCTTCGAGGAAGACCACGACTACGAATTCAGTCAAAGTGTCACTCACGTGGTCCATGGCCGTACGGAACTTGAGTGTGAACCAGCGGTCTTGCACAGCAGCTCTGCTAAGCACTATGATGGTCTTGTAACTGTGGCTCACCACGTAATCGACGGAATCCAAATAATGTATACCCAATACAAGGTCTTCGTCACCGAAGACGTTCCTCTGAAACTGTGGAAGCCGTTCTTCGAGAGCCGGTCGGAGCTGTTCGCGAATCCATTCCTCGTCATCTTCGCCATCGTCGTAGAAAATGATGTTCACGTCAAACTCGTAGTCGTTGTGGTCTCGAGCGCCTCGCATCTCTTTATAGCCCACTGCGGCCAGTTTCAAGAGAAAGAGTTTGTACCTCAACTGCCGTCGGCAGTGATACAATAGCACGCTGACTACAACCAAGCCAATGGAGGCGAGGGGAATCAGAAACAATAGACCATTTATTATACAGAGTTCATTTGGATCAACATCAAGCAGGGGTTTCTCACGAAGAGTATCCAGAGATTCTGATGAACAAATGGTTTTGTCCTTGTCTATCAGGTGTATAGGTTTGTTAATCCAAACAATAAGCCACTTTAGATCACAGTTACAATCAATTGGGTTCATTGATAGATCAATTGAAGAAATGGAGGAAAGGATCGGCTTGAAAGTCCTTTGATTAAAGCGATTTAATTGGTTGTCGGCCAAGGAAAGATTTGTGAGTTTCCGGTTATTTGAGAACATTAGCTCATCCAAGTATATGATCTGGTTTCCTTCTAGGTCGATAATGTTAACTTGACCTAACCCCGACAATACATCATCAGGAATATGTTGGATGTTGTTTCCTTTCAAACTCAACTTCTGAAGCGATTCCAACCCCGAGAAGACAAGAGGATGTAGATTTCTAATTTGGCAGTATTCTAGATTTAGCTCTTGTAAAACTGAGAGTTGCCGGAATATCCCTGGCGGTAAAAAACTCGGGAAAGAGTTTCTACTCAAATCCAAATGATTAAGACCCAATAATCCATCGAAAAGAGACGCGTTTCCATTCCATATGTTATTCGTAATGTCAAGCCCAGCGTCTTTCATGTCTAACTTAACAAGAGAATGTAAATGTTTAAACGAGGCTGGTCCGATATGAACCCCGATGTCTAACGGATTAATAGAGTTAAGGAAAAGTGATCTTAATATTGGGGTGTTCAATTCCAAATTTGTATATAATTGACATCCGGACAAATCAATGGTTTGAATATTGTCAAGTCCCGAAAAGGCCGTCAGCTCAAAGACACCAAGTAGTCTGTTATAGCTCATGTTTAAGAAAGTTAAATTTCCTAAACCCCGAAATACAGATGCAGATATGTTTGTAATCATATTACCGGATAAGTCTAACTCCAATAAGTCAACTGTCCAAGTCTGTTTATGAGGATTTATTTGTTTTACTTGGTTATTGTTGATTATTAGTACCTTTAATGCCTTCATGCCCTCGAAAAAGTCTGGTTGAATTTTGTCGATGGGGAGTTCGTTATAATTGAAAATTAATTTTTTGAGTTTTGTTAAATTCGAGAAGACTAAAGGATGGAGGCTTTTAAGTTTATTGCTTTCTAAGTACAGAAGAGAGAGAGAAGAATCGCGCAGTGGATCAAAGAAACCTTTAGGAAACGCACCGACAGAGCCTTCCTGGATTATAAGCTCATCGATGTCTGATTTTGAGATGCCGAGGATGATGTTCGTTAACACCTCGTTACTCAAAGGGTAGCCACCTAGCATCAAACAGCGAACATGTAATGATGTGATCACATCAGGGTCTACGGATTGGATTGGGTTTTGTCTAAGATCTAGAATAGAAGTGTTGCACACAAAGGTGAAATCTCCCGCCGTAAGGTGTTTTATTTGATTAGTATCCATGTATACTATGTTGGCCATGCCACAATAACTCACATTGATGAAGGAGAGCCGGTTGATGTACAGAACAACAGTATCTAGGTGTGGACTCCATTTTAGAATGTCATTGGGGAGCGCCGCCAAGTTTGTTTTCGTTAAATCGAGCATGGAAAGCTGTGAAGACATCATAAAGACGCCTGTTGCCGGAAGCACAAGACGCTGGTTCATCAATAGAGACAGGTTAATTAAGCCTTTGAGGGGGTAAAAAGTGCCGGATTCTATTGATCTTACATCGTTGTGAGAAATGTCCAAGGAGTAAATTTGAGGGTATACTTTAAACGAGGAGTTCAAGAGTTTGGTGATATTGTTATAAGACAAGTCAAGCACCTCGGTATCCCCCAAAAGTTTCTGCGGAACCGTCTCCAGGCCTTTATTGATGCAAGAAGCTTTTTTCAGTTCAAGATTCTGATCACATCTGTGGAAAGATTTGTCCATGTCCAGAGTTAAGGATGTCACCGCCGAATCTCCATCGTGTCGATGCAAATATTGAAAGGATGAGCTGACGAGGAGACAAGCGACGAGCAATGGGTATAATATTGAGCTGTTTGCCATGACGTCAATATATCGCCTCTGGAAAAGGAAAGGTACACCTTTGTCGGATGATAATGTCGTGGGTAAACTTCCAATGAAGGAAAGTGTAGACGTGGTGTATTTTTAGTTCATCGTTTTATTTTGTCATCAGACGAAACCAAAAAAAAGCCCTGCAAGAAACAGGAGAATATCAATCAATTAATACTTCAGTCATTTATAATATCGATGAATGTAAATAAACAGATTTTGTTGAATAACAATCAATATTGTCATAACATGAAATATAATTTCTATCAGCTAGTAACGCTGACACATTACCTATTAACCATCGGAAGTCTGTACCTCCATCCACAGACCACAATGGAATAATTGAGTCAGAACTTCGAGAATATTATCATTATCATAAAATGGCAGACAAATCCCCGTATTTGCATTCTCACTAGCCACCATCATTTTCCGCTGATAACATGCCTCCGTCTTAGAACAAAGACAATTTAGGAATTTGGAATGATTCAATCAGAATTACCCACTATAGTAGCATTGCTATCAAATAATATAAAAATTGAAAGAGTAGAATTAAAATGATTAAACCATATTCAATTTTTATATTCATTTTTAGTCATTTCCAATTTAGATTCTTATAGAAAATATGCTGTTCCATGATAGAATAATCAACAAATTTTACCAGTGTAAAGACACATGATTAAAATCATTTTGAATGTGATTGCTTCCTGAGCAATTGTACCGAACTACAAGATTACTGTGCTATTATAGTCATCTTGAGAATAAACCTGCATTATGATTTAAACCTATACATTTCGCCAAAATATTGTAAATATCAAGACCAATTTTAAGTATCAGTGAGTGTGACTAATTAAACCTAATTCAAAATGCCTACACAAGATCGACATCACCCTGGCACGAAGCCGATTTACTATGAACCGAAACCACCCAAGAGATAACCATCATTTCCCATGGTCGCCCTCTGGCTCTAATACTACAACCATGCATTGTAACTGCAGTTCAGCTGAAGCTTTTTTGCCAAAATCAAATATTAATCATTCAATTTCAATTACTCACTGCTCTGTTTCCACGTCTATCTATTTGTACCATTGATACAATGAACTATGAATTCAAATATTCGCTGTTCACTTACAGCATGTAATCATTTTGTCCTGACACTACAGCATAACTGCACAGGTTATTTACAATGTATGATTACTCATGAATTCATATAAACAAGTTCCAACTAAATGTTGAATTACTACCTGCTTTCTTAATCACTATAAACACAGCTTAGCTAATCACAGATTATACTAAATTTTGTGTATCAATACAAGGTTATAACAAGATGGGTAGATTACTATCAACAACTAGTATTCCTTTTGTGAGACCAAAGACACAAACATAATACCAAGTTCAGAATTGCCAACTTGAAATCTGTTGACAACTACAGAATAATTATCACTAATTATATGTACTCGTTTAGTCTACATATCGTATACTTGTGTTTATAGCAACAACAAAAACAAACATTGTAATTGTTTTCTATATGAGCTGAACGTACATTATGAAGCAAATTGATCTTTTTAATTTCTCGATATCCCCGCCCCAAACAATTATATTTCAATGTTATGATTTCAAAATAAATCGTTTTCGCCTTTATACTTAAGGGAGAACTTACCAAAAAATAGCTATGCATCAATATAGGCATCTTCTAAAATTAAAGTGTAAATGCATCACAATGTGAGGATTGGATGTCCATTCTGCATGTCACGGTGGAGTTACTACACTAATATAATGGAATATCAAATGGAGCAGATAGGGCACGTTGAGTATTAACGTAAGTTTTAAAAAAAATGATATGGTCCTTTGACAAAATAATACATAGTTAAAAGAGCAAATTATTCAAAGAGGGCATTTCAACCAATAAAATGAAACAACTAAAATAATAAAATAACAATATTTAATGTTATGAAAATGTTACATTAATTTTTAAATACTTATCGGGATTCAGGTCATGAGATTTCAACACGATAGGATTTGGGGTTATCAATTAACAGTTGTTTGTTAATGAGGCATAACAAAACTCTCTTTCATGCATAACAGGGTCTGCGAGGATAAAACTATTTGATGTGTCACTTCTTGAAGTATTTCCAAAGTGAGTGTTCAATCGCATTCCGACTGATACTAATACACAACTTCATCATCATGGGAAAGCAAATTTGATATAAAAAGCATTAAATTATAATCTTAATCTGTGATCAGCAAGTTCGATACAAAAACCTGCGTTTTGTTCTCCCCCACACAGTAAAAACGCTGCTTAAAAAAGTGATGTTCACTTACAGTTGTACACTATCTTAAACAACAGTTGAATAAATTGTAAACAATGTTGCTCGAAACGAAAGTAATTTTGTTAAACATTAGCTGTTTAAAATTTAATGACTGCTATATTTACTATACGAGAGCTTTTAGACAGCGTTGTTTACATATGACGTCATGTGTCTCGTGCCAGTAAAGTGCGCGTTGGCTAAAAGCTTTATTTCACATTGTTATGTTTAGAAACAGGTTCCTTGAAACTAACATGCAATTGAAATTAACATGCCACTTAGAAATGCAGTGCAGCTGTTTAGGCACAGCTCATTGTTATTCATATTAGATGCATACACACAATGCAAGTGTATGCAAAGGTCTTCTGTTGACTACATAGGCCCCCCCCCCCCCCCCCACTCAGGTTTCGAAATGACCGCATGCGTGTTGCCAAAATGTCCGGTAAAGGGGTACTTTTCGTGCGACAAAGTCCGGCCCGAGAATTGTAAAAAAAAAAGGGGTGTATTTGACTTTTCACCCGGAGATTTTTTTTAAAAGGGGGTGTTTTTCTCTTTTTTTCTCTCATCTCTTTGGAATCCTGAGAAATTATTCCGAATTTAGGGGGGTACATTGAGCATTTTTCCCAATTTAGGGGGGTCTCCAAGGCAGGAAAAGCCCGCGAAAAGCCCGCGAAAGGGGGGTTCGGAAATGTTGGCAGTCCTCAGATAGGGGGTGCTTTCAAAAAGAGGGAACGAGCATATGCGTACCCTAAATAACACTGAGTGGGGGGCCGGGCAAGCTACGCGCCTGCATTTAAATATATAGCTATGATACTGACTAAGTTAACGAAATAATTCTTATATTTATGTCGAGGAAAATAAAAATAAAAAAACATTTGCGCATACGCTAGTACTATAGATAGTTCATAGAAAAAACAATTTAGCCTTAGGCCCCGGGTTGAAAGGGTTAAATTTGTAGACACGGGGACATTAAATTTTGTCGGTAATTGGTGGCTAGTTTTGTCGGTAATCGGTGGTCTCTACACCCCGCCACTGAAAAAGGTCTAGCGACGCCTCTGTTTGTGAATTCAGTTAAATTTAATGTATATGCTTTATAAACATTGTAGAGATAGACATAGATTGTACAATATTAGTGAGAGCAATAAACCGTGAGTTTGACTTTGGAAAAGTATAAACATCGACTCAAAACCTACCGTTGTGTTCCATGAAACTCACGGGGACAACTCATGGTTCCTTGTACAAATCTAGCATACACTATTAGCCTGAAACGTTTCATAATGACTTTGTATTTTTCAGTTAAATTTGTTTTAACTCAGCATTTTCATAATTTCGGACATTTTAACTAAAAAAAGCACTTTACTCTCTTTGACGGATAAGAACATGTATAGCCTGGCCTGATTGTATTCCCTTTATTGATCAATAAAGTGATTTAGAAGGGGAAAATGCTTTACATGTAGGTTGAAATATAAATCAGTTATTGCACTTTGAAATACTTGAAATCATGAAAGCCACTTTATATTTGGGGGTAGTTACCACGCTCAATTTTTATCACAAAAAAAAAATTCTTTGCTCAAAATTTGAAAGAATGTCCAATATCCTGATTTTCATTTTTTGACCCGAATATGTTGAAAAACATTTCAGTTGATATTTATTTCATTCTGAGTTTGAAGTAACAGAACTGTTGGGTATACATTCGAAAGTTGGTAATTACACACATATATTTCAAAGTTTTGAAAACACAATAAAGCTGTCCATGATTGAAACACTTGTTCTTGGTAACATATAATATATTATATGTTTTCGTGCAACACAGAGAAAAAGATCAGATAATGTGATGGAAAATAAATTACTTTAAGCTATGCCAAATGAGTTGATGCCTTTTTACGTGATGCGCAATTTGAGTGGAAAACACTCCAAGCACAGTGTACATGTGCCATACGTATAAGGCAATTTTCAAAAGTATTAGCAGTCCATGGGCCAATAAATGAAAAGGCCCCAACCTCTTAGACATAATCTTAAATTTAGCTATCAGAATGTTCTTGTATGCCCTAAAGTTTGAGATGGATGTGACAACTGAGACCCCTGTTACAGTTCACAGCAAAAGGCCAGGCCCTGCATTTTCTCACTGTAAACGCACGCTTAGACCCCGTTTACAGTGAGAAAAGGGCCAGGGCCGGGCCAGGCCTACTCGGCCCCGCAATTTTGTGCGTTTACAGTGAAATCTGGATTTTTTTTTTTTTTTTTTTTTTTTTTTTTTTTTTTTTT